TTCGAGTGCTGTTTCAATTACAGGTATAATATCTTCAGGTTTTAATCTTTTGTTGCTAATGTTGAAGTTCATTCCTTTCATCAGTACGCTTTCCTCTGCTTCTGTTAGCTTTCTGTCTGACAAGTTTACAATCCAATTGGCTTTATTTACTTGTTTGTCATTCGGAGTTTTCGCTATCATGAGTTTATTAAATTTTTTTATTTGTTTCATCTTTGTTTTTTCATAGGTAGTTTCTTTTCGTTTTCGTGCAACTTCTAGTATGCTTTCATACTTTTCCTTTTCAATTGCTCCTTTCAGTTTTTCTTTTGCTTCATCAATATCTTTCCTTATTGTGAATAGTTTTCGTATAATTCCACGTAAGTTTTCTTTGATGCATATTTTTGAGTCATGTGTGAGTGCTGCATTTGCTTTATCAGTAGATATCGGTGATTTTAGTCTCATATATACAGGAATAATTCCATCTTTTAGGCATCTGATGTTGAAAATTCGATGGTTCATAAATCGAGATTCAGCTTGGTATAAATGTGTGAGTTTGTTGGCCAGTCTTTTAATGGGAAGACCGTCAGTTGAATTAATATCAATAAAAAGTTTGAGCATTGTGGATTAGATCAAATAAAGTATAATTATATTTTAATAGTTTACACACAATGATAAGTTTTGTTATTGGTAATATTTCGAGCAAAAAATCAAACAATTCCAACACTGGTGTGAACACGGGCAGTAATTTTGCTCGAAATATTACCAATAACAAAACTTATCATTGTGTGTAAACTATTAAAATATAATTATACTTTATGTATCATGACATTCACTCAATATCCTCCTTGAATGAGCACAGGAGATATAATGTGATCTACCGTCCTACAGAAACTATCACCATCAGTCAGACATGAAAAGGTTGTCTGTTTTTGATCATAGATGTTTACGATCTCTTTCTCACGTTAGGTGGCATAATAAGGTAAGTAATGTTGACGTTAGGCGTAGAGTGTTGGGCTAAGAGGGAAAATCAATCGACGAGGCTATAAAGTTACATAGATTGAGGTGGTTAGGTCACCTGCTGCACATGCCTAACCATCGCCTCCCCCGGCGGACGGGCATTACTAGCTGATATAAGTGCAGGTTGGAAAAGAGTAAGTGGTGGCCAAACAAAAACATGGCATCAATCCATGAAATCCTTGACGGTTAAACTGAGTCAGGTAGGGAGATGCAGAATTCCGGGATGGGGCTTGCCCTCGGGACTCTAAGAATCAATGGCTGGAGACAATAGGTGACATGGCTCAAAATCGTTGTCAATGGCTTACGCAGATGTATTCAGTCTCTGTAATCTTTTATATTCCTTTCTACCATTACTCATCCTATTTCACTCTTATACTTGTCAAAACTCTATTGATTCTCTTCACTCATTTTCTTGTCTACTTTTGTGCTATTTGGAACGTGGCAACTGGAACTGCTGCACTTCGGTGCCAAGTTCTATGTTGAATCCAGACAGACAGACCGTCAGTCAGTGATATATTATTTCTCACAATGAACATATTTTAAAAAGATTTTAATTTTAAATTAAAACGATGCTGTTTGATAGCTCATGTAATCATGTTTCCAGGTGTCCAACACTACTAATCCAGATGAACTCTTTTGAAACTGTGGAATCTCGTTAACAATTATGTAATACAGAAAGCGTGATTCAGGTAGAAACTAAGATAAAATGAAGTTAGTAAATTGAGTGACGTAACATAATTGATGAGGTTGAGTGGAGTCCAACTAAATAAAACTGAAAGACGGTCACGTTAAGATCAGTGGCAAAAGGCGTAGACACATAGTAGTGAAAAAGCAGAGGAAAAATTACAATGAACAAAAATTACGTAAGTAATGTTGAGAAAAATTGGGTTCACTGTAGGTTGTTCAGTGACTGAACAAACGTCTTCTGTATGCAGAGTTCATGATTTAACATGTGGGTCACCGTAACTTTCACCTTTTGGTTCGTACTCTTGTGGAGAGATTTCGGTGTAATCTCTAGATGATTTTGAAGTTGCAGTGAAATCCGATATGTTAAATCCTCAATTCTGAATAGAGAAGAAGTTTGTTCAATTGTTGAACCTACAATAAACCCGATCTGTCTCGACATTTAATAGGTAAATTTAGCGCCAAGTTTCATTTTACGCAACTGCATTGTCACCTCTTTTCATTCATACCTCATTTTCCTACCTCTTATTTGTGATTGTGATCTATATTGATTAAATTTTTTATCCTTTTCGATGTGTAACGCGTATGATCACAATGTTCTAATTGTGTTGCACGAGTATTTAACACCTTTCAGATAAATGAAGTCTTCTAATTGTTTTGTCAGGATACATAAATACAATGAATTGCTTTAAATTTCAAAATCATTTGTCCCTGTAATTATAAATCCTGGATAATCAAACAGAATGTAGTATTTTGTGCTTAGATTAGTGTTTCCCAAAAGTGGATCAAAATGAATTTTGTCGTATATGCAGTATTATAAGGATTCAAGAGTCTCTGATACACTGTAGTCTGATATTAGCTTTTAAGGTCAATCAGTAGAAAGCCTGATACACAAATTCCTGACAACTTATATAAAATTACATTTCACCGGAACGATTGGCTTATTGACTAGATTGCATACTTGATCGAGAAATTATCGACAACATTTTGGGTCATAGAGATGATCCGATAACTATCAGATGACTGAAGTTTTACTGTTGGATACAAACTCTCGTTTCTTCATAGTTGCTTATTAGGCATGAAGCTGGGTTTTGTCAGGCAAAAAATACTTTAGTTTACGAACTTCAGCCCAATGTCATCCTCCTAACATCTGATATTATTTTTCAAGTATTGGTTTTGTAGGGTTTTTGTTTGATTGGCTGGAGGATTTCATCATGAGCTGACATCATTTAGAGAACCATTGGAAAACCTGCAGGGAGTACCGGACAGCTGTTTCCTACGTCCTAGTTTGAGACCAGCCCAATTCAGGTAGTTAGTTATCCGGTTTCTGGTGAAAAGCCATGACCAGTAGAGTACAGTAGGTCGGGTGTGAGGACAAATACTCTCCACGGATGACAATGGTTAGTGGTCGCGCCATATCATGAATTGGCAGAAGTTAGAATTCATGGGCTTGCCATTAGATCGGGTCCCAGTGGCTTAATGTTTTACGAGCTCGAGTTGTAACCAGAAAGTGCTGGGTTCGAACCCTGGTGGAGGGTGTATACTGATGAGGAGTCCCAAAATAGGACGTCGGAAACAGCTGTCCAGTACTCCCAGCTGGTTTTCCAGTGTTTCTCTGACTGATGTCAGCTCCTAATGAAATCCTCGAACCTTATATTATTCTGACTGACTGATTAATCTTTGTGAGCTTTGATAATTGTCTGAAAAGACAGTAACTTAAATTCACAAGGAAATAACTGATAGTTTTTCTCCTTCTTAGTAACTTTGAAAGAAGTAATAAATCCCAAGGAAAGTTTTCCTGAAGGCATAATATTTATAAGAGTCATGTAGAAGGCTTTTTCAAATAGATATGAACACTTTTTGAATTTATAATTTGGTAGGTGATCTTTCGATGCACACTAAAAGCACTTCACTAATAGCCATTCATTTGAATTTGCAACAGTGTTCATTTCCAGATTTGTTGAAATAAAGAGTTGACTGACCTTGCTAGTTATGAATTTTTGTCAGAATTCCAGATAACTTCCTGAATGAAGCCAATCACTGGTAAGTACCAGATTAATTATCAAGGGTCGCCTACTGATGAAGAATCATAAACTAGGACGAAACACCTCTTCAGTACTCCCTGGGTTATCACTGGTTTTCTGTGTGACTGATGTCGGTTCATGATCAAACTGGTAACCACTCAAGTCCCCACAAACTAACACTCGACAAATAGGGATTCCCAACTGAATTATTCGGAGGATAGGTCAATTCTTAAAGCATCGTTTACTTACGATGCAGCAATTTTTGTGTTATAATCTTAGATATTTGTGAAATCTCGATTTTTCTAACCAAACCATTATAGATAAATTTAGCTATTTTATAATTTTAATTTCGGCAAATAAATCACTGTTGAACTCAATATCGGATCGGTGTGAACAATCGTTCTTAGTTTTAAGAAACTTTTGACTCAATTGTTTATTTTCAAGTGTTGGTGTGCAGTGGTTTGACTGGTATACAGGCGTCATCACAAGTTGATATCAGTTAGATAGAACCATAGGAAAAACAGTGAGTGCTGGTCAGCTGTTTCGTCCTAGTTTGGGACTCTTCAGTAGTGCGCATCCATGGGTTCAAACCCACGTTCATTCGGTTACAGGACAAGCTCATAGACCATTCCGCTTCAGTGCTTAAATCCATTTTTCAAACCATTAGATAGGAATGAACAACTTGATTGAAACACACCTACAAGGAAAGTATTTTTTGTCGACTGAATTATTGAAGGTTTCTTTTTTCAATCGATTTGCCTCATTTTTTTAAACTATTTACATTGTTTTACTCTTCACTACCATGATAAGTTGTATGTGTAAAGTGATGAATTGATCATACTTAACTTTTCTACATACATTTCAGTGTCACTCACCTCAAGTTGGATTGCTTTATATGTAGGTCAGATGTCTATAGATGCATCCACAGACATACACCTCCCCTCCCCCCATATACACACACACGCACAAATACTACACATTCTTTCACAATTCCTTCTCACAGTGTTTCACACGTAAGTCCAAAGTAAGTTTTCTGAGCAGTTTTGCTCATATCTGTATAGATTGATAACTGCTTATGTAATGATACCATATATATATATATATATACTCACAAGTGGTGTATGCGATCATTTTATACGTCGATAGTCTCACCAGCTAACCATCTTATTGACGTACTCCTGTTGTTTGTATGTACGTGTGTGTGCTTGTGTGCAAACTAACAAGCCATTTTAGATATTTGCTTAAATACACTGCATACAACTTACCTAACCGATCCAATTACAAAACTAAGTATGAATATGAGCCTTCAGTGCATGTGTATGTACGAATGTAATGCACAATGTTGCGTAGAATTTGTGCTGACGTGTGTGTGTATGTTTCTGAAATATTTGACTTTCCAATGAAGCATAATTCATATAAAAAATAGATTATACTATCATAAATTTACTTAAAATATATATTTTCACCATCTACTGGTTCATCCATTGAATCCACTATAACCAAGTTTATATCAAAACCTTTGTTTGTTTAAATCCTCAACACTGACAATTACAAAAATGGCCGTTGGTAAAGCTGTTGTAAAAAATGCTGATATGGATGCACCAATGCAAGAAGACGCCGTACAGACAGCTGCTGCAGCTAGAGAAAAATATGAAGTTGACAAAGATATTGCTACATATGTCAAGCAACATTTCGATAGAAAATATGGACGTACATGGCATTGTATAGTTGGTAAACAATATGGCAGGTAAATTTGAATTTGTTTTTTTTGTTTTTAATTTTTTCTTCATGAAATCCACATTTCAATGTTTCAATCTTTGGGTAAAATGAATTTTCATAAATAATTTTGTTAAAAGCATAATTTAAAAGTGTATCTAGGTGAGGGAGGATGAAAGCTGTTGTAAGGTGTTTTCGTGCATAGTGTAACAAACACAAAAGTTGATAAAACACGTTTATAAAACAGCAAAATGTAACAGTTTGATGCGATTATAGGTATTTCTCTAAAATTAACTAACTAACTAACTAATTACCTGAGAAAATTCAAATCATAATTGACCGCCTCTATCCTCCTGTATTTAAGTTATATTGAAACGAAAGCGCGGTAAATTCGTTTCGCTATAACTTACTCACTTATATGACTGAATTAATGAATGAACTCAGAAGCAACCACAGTGGAAATGATATGAGATCATAGAAACCTGTCACTGTAAAGGAATAACAGTTACTTTAATGAGAATTATCACGTAAAAATACATAGCACTAGGCTTTTGAATGAACTCTAGCCAGGTTAATTTTCAGATGTTCACATTAAAATCAACATTGGAAACCTTTTCAGAAAAGATTCCGACTAAAACTCCGATATAAAGGAGACAATATCGCAATAATTTAATAATCTTCAAGGTGAAATGAGTTTTCGCTACACTAGTGAAACCCAGTGAAAATACATGGTTTGTTAAAATTGATAGATTAATAATAATAATTCACTTTATTCCACAACAATAACAATTTACAGCATGGAATTTTCAGTGTTTCTTTTACACATTGCAATGGTTTAGCTCTGTTTATAATTATATAAATGTATAAAACGTTAAAATATTTATAGTTAATAGGAAAAATAAAAACCCCAACAAAATCACACCATTGCTAGGTCATAGTGAATAATAAATAAATAATATAACAAATAACACATGCAATAATATGCATCATTACATTTTATAGTTTAGTTAATGATTTAAAAGTTGTAAAAGTTCTTTTCTGATATTTGTCTCTTCACACAATACTCGTGCCAAATATGGTACGGTCGAATTTTTATATTTTGTAGTACGAGCATAAATGTTTATGAAATTTCTTCTGGTCTTACCCGAAGAGATGCAAGGAAACAATTGTAAATAAAGAGGATGTTAACTATCATACAAGATAACTTTAGCTAAGTGTTTACAAGAATTCATATGCCTATTGACAACAGTGTCAGTTAGTTGAATCAAAGGGATAGCACTGACCTTACTTACAGCCCTCAATGTTCTTCGTAGTATTATATGATCTTTTTTAAGTAGCCCAGGGAAGAATAATGGAGAACAATAAAGAATGATGGGCAAAACACATGAATTAATAAATTGTATGAGAAGAGATTGGGTTATACCTGAGTGCCTCAACTCCTTTATGTAATAAGTCAGACAGAAAATCTTCTTAGAAACTATAAGAATATGAGACGTCCAGTAAAGGTTTGAAGAGAAACTAATGACAAGATAAGAAACACTTGACTTACTCTCTATCATGGTACCATCAATATTACAACAATCATGAGATTGGACCAATCCATGCATATCTTTTTCACTTCTCAAGCTGAAATCAACTGTATTACATTTAGTTGGATTTAGTTTAAGACCATTTGAGCCAGACCAATCCTTAACTTCAGCTAAGAAGTCATTCATATGGGAACAGTCCGATGTGGAAACTACGGGGACAGAAACGGTCAGACCATCAGCGTACTTAATGAAGTTAACTTTGGGTGAGTTCGGAAGGCCATGCAAAAAGAAAGAGAAAAGAAATGGAGAAAGTACTGCACCTTGAGGCACACCACTTTCAGTTAGCTGAGAAGTGGAGCGCTTTCCAGCCAAAATAGCATATATCTTTGAAGAAATTAGTAAAAATATCATTGAAGAGGTAAGAGGTGTGTTCCACTGGATTAGTTGACCGCCGGGGCTATCTGTCTAGTGAATCACTTAAGTTTTGGAGGCAACTATGATAGTCCGTTGATTAGTCAAGATAATTCTGGTTGAAGGAATAGCTATGAAGGAATAGCACCACTCAAGAGTTTCACAACTTGATGGTTGTATTTACTTTTGTTCAAAAATCACTGACATGTATTCAGTGAAAGCCACTTTATGTATATCAAGTATATCACATTACAGTAGTAGTATAATCGGGCAGTGCTTGTTATACGACCTCTTAATATTCATTCATCTTCTTGCCTCAGAATTCTTGCTGACTGACGTAAACACTTGACATTCATAATACGGGACAGGAATTTAAATCACATGTGACGATTTCGGGATTTGTGTAACTAAGTACCTTAACAACAATAATAGAAGCTTTCATTGTAATAAAGGTTTTTGTATTTCCCAATGAATGAAAAACAAAACGATATTGTTTTTACTGACGTTTCGCTATTTAATGCTAATAGCTTTATCAAAGTATTATTAAACCGGAATTTACAAAATCTCAGCATATATATAACAAACAGTTAGGGGGTGAGAAAATAAACATAGGTCAAGTTAAAGGGACATATTGAAAGTAAAAATAGCGATGAAGATAACTATACCAAATAACAAAGGTAATAGTATGTCTGTTATGATATCGAAAAAAGAAAGAAAAGTTTACTAACTTGATCATCGTTCGTCTGTCTGGGGCATTTTTAGTTGTTAAGTTGGTGAATTGGTAAAGATAACAAAATCATCATGTGTAGATTGTTGGATTTGATAAGTGTATGAGATTATAAAACCAGCGTGTGTTTACATAATGAAAGTGCTTATCACATTCGTGTTGGTTTTGTCACTTGATGGGGGGGGGAGGGAGGTGTTGTAACCAGGTCAGATTCTGTTTTAGTCCATCATTCCTATTCAGGCAATTTTGATTCCACTTGATATGAAGTGCTTCTGATATTAAACGTTCTTTGTGATTTCTGAAGTTTTTCTGGATTATTTCAACATTGTCAAAATCAATTTTGTGGCCTGATTCTATAGCATGTAGACCTATGGCTGATGATTTTTCAAGTCTTTGTAGTTCAACAGGATTCTTCCGTGGTCGAAGAGATGCTCTACGGTGTTCATTTCTTCTGATTTTGATTTCTCGAGAAGTTTGTCCGATGTATATCGCATCACATTCCAAGCATTTTATCTTATAGACACAATTAGATAGCGAATCTTTAGGGATTTGGTCTTTTATATGGACAAGGTTGCTTTGAAGTGTGTCTGATGTTTTGAAGAAAACTCTAATATCGAGCTGATTGAGTACTCTTCTGATATCGTCTGACGTCTCTTCTCTATATGGAATGACGACTGTTGAAGTCCATGTTTTCGGGATGCGTTTTCGGCCATACTTGATGTCTGTGTTGATTTTGTTGATGAAGTTCCATGGGTAGTTGTTTTGCTTGAGAGTCTCAGTAATGTTTGATATTTCTTCTTCTTTTTCTTTCTCGTCGGTTATCAGAGAGTGTGCTCGTCTAAGAAGACTTGAAACAACTGAAATCTTTGCGCTGATGGGGTGTGATGACTTGAAGTCTAAATATTTATTTGAGTGGGTTTTCTTCCTGAATATGGATATACTAAAATGTCCGTTTTCCTTTCTCTTAACTAGGCAGTCTAGAAATGGTAGTTCACCGATGTCTGATTCTGCTTCCGAAGTGAATTGGATTCTGGGACATACACAGTTTATTTTCTCCAGGAATGAATTGTGTAGATCTCGTTTTAGTACTACAAAAGTATCATCCACATATCTTAACCATATTTTAGGAGTGAGTATGCTTGAAAAGATGTTATTTTCGAATTTATTCATGAAAAGGTCGGCGACTATTGGTGAGACTGGTGAACCCATAGCAACACCATTTGTCTGTCTATATAAACTCCCTTTAAATGTGAAATAATTATTTTCTAGACAGAATTTTAAGCTCTTAATTATTTGACTGGTGTCCAGTGGACATCTTTGTGATAGCGTTGTATCTGATTCTAGAAGACTGGAGATGATATCAAGACTTTCGGTAATGGGGATACTAGTATATAATGAGTTAATATCATAGCTTACCATAATGTCTTCTTTATCAATTTCTCGGTGTTCTATTTGGGATTTGAAATCATATGAATTCCTGACAATATTTTGAGTGTCCTTTTGTAGTGGTTGTAGTATCGAGAGTAAGTATTTAGATAGGTTGTATGTCGGTGAGTTGGTGAAATCTATTACTGGTCTCAATGGAACTGTGGGTTTATGTATCTTTGGTTGACCGTAGAATCTTGAAGGTACATAAGACTTTGGTTTTAGTTTAAACCAGAGAGGATTTCCAATTTTGGGTTTCATTTCTTGAAGGACTCTGTTTGTATTCATTTTCATTTTGTTGAATTCGGCGGATTTCTTCTTCTCTTCAATGAGTAAGTATGGTCCTTCAGATAGGTGTTCGATCGCCTTCTTTTCGTAATCCGTAATAATATCATATACCCAATGCCCAAATTTTTTCAAACCGTTAAAAGTCAACTTGGTTTGGACATATATAATAGTAGCTTTATTCTAAATTGTGTTTACATCAGCAGAGTTTATTGCATGCTGCTTTCTCTTCGAATAGAATCTTCAGATAAAATGGTAACTGATATTAGATCGTGTGACACAATGCCCTCTGACTTGAAGTGAAAACCGACCTCTCATGATATTTCTTCTTTGTTTCCTTCTAGGAATGTATGAAATTTGTCTTGAAGTCAATCATAAAAAAGTTCAGGAGTCCATTTTAAGACCCACTGAAATAATTTTGAAATAGTTATTCCATGTATTGGGATAAGTTGTGTCTCCGCCCTCCGCCATGGTTATGCTTTTTCTCAAGTTTAGTAGAAACTGGTGAATCAGCAGGTTGCAAACACACTTTAAATACTCATGAGGGTAAATAATACCACATTCTGATCGATTAAAACAAAAGGGAACTGGGGAAACAATTTTGTGATGGAGGTGTTTCTGGCAGCCCGAGTGTTAAGCACCCCATTGTGTATA